ACAGTTTGCTTATCTGCTAAACGTTTGGTGCAGTTGACACGATAGAGGGAAAGGATGCCATCCACAGGGACCTGGACAGGCTTAAAAGGTGGGCCCATGCCAACCTCATGAAGTTCAACAAGGCCAAGCACAGGGCCCTGCACCTGGGTTGGGGCAGTCCCAAGTACAAATACAGGCTGGGTGGAGAATTGCTTGAGAGCACAGAAGGATTTGGGAGTGTTTGTTGATGAAAGACTCAACGTGAGCTCACAATGCACACTTGCAGCCCAGAAGGCCATTTGTATACTGGCATGCATTGAAAGAAGTGCAACCAGCAGGTTGAGAGGGGTGACTCTGCCCCTCTGCTCTGCTTTTGTGAGACCCCACCTGGTGTATTGTGTCCAGTTCTGGGGCACCAACATAAGAAGGACACTGAGCTGCTGGAGCAAGTCCAGAGGGCCACAAAGACGATCAGAGGGCTAAAGCATCTCCTCTATGAGGACAGGCTAGGAGAACTGAGGCTTTTCAGCATAGAGAAGTCTCCAGGGAGATCTTTTAGTACCTGAAGAAGGTCTACAGGAAAGCTGGGGAGGGACTTTTTGTAGGGAGAAAGAGTGACATGACAAGGGGAAATGGGTTCAATCTGGTAGAGCATAGATTTAGACTAGATTGTAGGAAGAAATATAATTAGGTTGTGTTTGGACTTTATGGAGAAAGAAAGGGAGAAACCCTTCAGCAGGGTCTGTTGTGATAGGACAAGGGGAAATGGTTTCAAACTAAAAGAAAAGCCATTTATGTTGGATACAAGAGAAAAGGTTTTTTTACAATAAGGGTGGTGAGGCTCTGGAGCAAGTTGCCAAGAGAGGGGATGGATGCCCTGTCCCTGCCGGTCAGCTGTACGGGCTCTGAGCACCCTGATCTAGCTGTAGGTGTCCATGCTTATCATAGGGGAGTTGGACTAGATGATCTTTAAGACTCCCAAGTCAAACTAGGATTCCATGATTTTCTTCCAGTTAGGTATCTGATAAGTGACAGAGCTTGTTAAGACACAAACTCCGTTAGTGTTGGCTTTAGTTCCTTGATTTCTCTTTAGTATTATTCTGCAGAGAGGAGAAAGGAGAAGCAGCAGGCACACAAGGTGATTGGAAAATTGCACAAATTAAGATACAAATGAAAACTACTACAATTCAACTTATTTAAGCAGTAACTGAGAACTTTTACTTGATGGAACAGTGATTTTCTGATTTTTGTTAAAGGAAATGAGACTGGACACGTACCAGTGAGCACCTGCTCATTACTAGAGACTGAAAGCTAAAAGCGCTTCTGGCTTCCTATTGTACACAGTGGATTGATTTCCAGCTTCCGCGGAAACAAAACCTGAGCGCAGAATAGGTGCCAAAGCCTCACACAGCGGACTTGAGAAGGCCGATTCCGAGCAGCCCCGTGTGCAGCCGCCCGTCCCACCAGCTTGAGCCGACTGCTGCACCGGCAACCACGGAATCAACGCAGCACGCCCGCGCCGGCGGCGCCCGCCTAAACCTTCCGCCGCGTTGCCCCGCCCCGCCCCGCCCCCTGTGCTTTGGCGCCGCTTTCGGAGCCCGACGGGCGCCATGCGGAGCCGCGCGGAGGTGGACGCTACGCTGCGTACCGCCAAGCTGAACCCCGCCGAGCTGCTGCCGGCAGTGCACTGCCTCAGCTTCGGCCCGCAGGGCGGCGTCGGCGATTGCTGCCTGCTGCAGCTCGAGGCGGGGCTGTGCGCCGAGCTGGAGGCGGGCCGCAGGTACGGGCCGGGCCGCGGAGGCTGCCGGGCGCTGCTCGTCTGTGGGTGTGACTGCCGCGGTGGTGCGAAGGGACGCGGTTTGTTGAAACGCGCCTTGCAGTCTGGGACGGTGCTCTCGGAAAGATGGTTTTGTTTTGGGCGATTCTGTGTGGAGCCAGCGGTTGGACTTGCTGGTCCCTGTGGGTCTCTTCCAACTCTTCCTAATCTTCCACGATTATTTCATCAAAATAGCTCTCCTGAGCTTGCACAGTAAGAAAAACGGGGGTAGGATAGTCAGTGTCCTCATGGTTTGCATGTTGTTACAGGGTGCAGCTGAGTGGCAGTGCCTTAAACAAGCTCAGGTTCTGCTTGCAGACTGCATTCCATCTGACCAGGGCAGCAACTTGAATACTGAAGTTTCTTGCAGTGAAAGAACTTCTTGTTGGGCATCTGGTGACAGCTGCATTGAAATTTGTTTCGAAAAAGCTGCCATCCTTAAAAGAATCTCACTGATCAGGCTCTGGCACAGGCTGCCCAGGGAGGTGGTGGAGTTGCCATCCCTGGAAGTGTCCAAGGAACTTTCAGATGTGGTACTGAGGGACATGGTTTAGTGGGGAAATATTAATGATAGGTGCACGGTTGACTGGATGATCTTGGAGGTCTTTTCCAACACTGGTGATTCTACGATTCTGTAACTCATAAGGTTTTCCTGCTGTAGCAGATAGTTGGGGTGGGATGCAGAGTACCAGCAAGTTACACAGACAGGATGGTGAAGGCCATACATAGTGCTTGTTGTGTCTGGAAGGATGGTTTTGTGACATCTTCCAACTCTGGCCCAAAGCCAGAGAATAAGTTTTAGGTACAGTTTTATATTTCTTCCTTTACCAGCTGCAATGCCACTGATGTAATGCAAACATTTTAAATGATACAACACTAGAACTCCCTCTAAAGTCCTCAGAGATCATAGAATAGCTTAGGTTGGACAGGACCTTAAAAATCATCGAGTCCCAACCCCCTACAATGGGCAGGGCTGCCACCCACCAGCTCAGCTGCCCAGCACCCCCATCCAACCTGGCCTTGAACACTTTTGGGGATGGGGCACCCTCAGCTGCTCTGGGCAGCTGTGCCAGTGCTTCACTGCCCTCTGAGTGGAGAGGGTGATGTCTGTTAGCAGGGCTGTTTGTACCTATTGGAAGGATGATGGGGTGCCGAATGTTTCCAAGACCTCAGACCTGAGTGGTGCTATGTTCTTGGAGCATAGCTGAGTTTTTTTGTGTTGGTGTTGTGTCCTCACTAAAAAGTTCTGTTTACAAGTGTGTGGGCTGAAGAAGGCGCTGTGCCTTGATTCTTGTCTGGAAGTGTTAGATATTTATGTTTTTTTTCTGCTTGGAGTTAGTTGTAAGAAAATATGCACGTTTCTTTAACGGAGTTATCTGAAGGACACTGTGCAATAGTTTCTATTTGCTTCCCATTCTATGTTGGGCTAGTTTCAGTCCTCAGGAAAGAACAACTTTAGTCATAATCTACTTTCTAAGGTTCATGCACTTTAAGCATCACTAGCCCCTTGTTTTGAGGGTTTTATGTGAATAGACAGATGAGGAGGTTAGGCTATGATCTATGTAAAAAGCCTTGGATACTGTCTTTCGGAGTTGGAAAACTTGAACAAACATAGAAGATATTTTAGATTAACTGACAATTACGTCTTTACGTTTTGGTATAACATGACTGCCACTACTAAATAGAACTGTGGTTTGTAGCTTCTTTACTAAGTTGTAAACGTGAAAAAAAAACAGATGAGTTTAATAGATGTTCATCCTGAAATAGAGAAATAGAGGTACAAATGCATGTTTTAGTGCTATTTTTTTTTTTTTTTTTTTCAGCCTGGTAATCCGTGGTGAAAAGGATGAACAAGCAGTGTTGTGCAGCAAAGATAAAACTTACGACATGAAAATAGCAGATACCTCAAATATGCTGCTGTTTATTCCTGGCTGCAAAACTCCGGAAGAGCTGAATGCAGATCAAGCATCTTGTAATATTATTCATTCACAGGTATACCTTTCTGGGTTTTTTGCTTGTTTGCTTTAATTCTCGAATCCCTTATTCTCTGTAATTTTTTGTGTTTTTTTCCAAGATGCTTACGTGAAACCCTGAGCGGCATTTAGTTGCCTAAACATAGACTTGTGCCATTTTAGGTGCTTTGTGGTATTGGTCCAGCTGTAAGCTGCCACTCCAGAAGGATGGAGATCTCCTGTAGCTTCTTTGTATATCTGACAGCCCCAGGAGATGTCTTTACAAACAAGCCTTACACACAAGGGGCATGCTATACCTTTGGGTGACCAAAATGGCTCTAGGGCTCTTGTGTAGGCAACTGAACTCCATCTGTAATGTATGTTAATTATTGTTTCTAAGAAGTTCAAACTTATGTTTATTTTGAGTGGATAGTAATTACTTGTGGTAGGTATTAAAAGATTTCAAAGAATATCTGATTTCTCAGTGTTGGCAGCTATTTTAAAAATTAGCTGTTTGCACATTGATTCTTATGAGTGCTTTCCCCAAAAGGCAGATTTTACCATGTCATTATTAGTATATTTTAAATACAGAAGTATATTCAAAGTTTACCCTTTTTTGCAACTAGCATCTGGGGAGATTTGTTGGAGTGGGTGACTTCAGAGCTCTGAGTTCAAAGAATTCATTGTTCTCTGCTATTCTGAAGTGTAGTTAATAAAATTCTTCCGAAAATAGTTAGGAAAATATTACTAGCTCATTATTTGCTCTAATGGATATAATGACATCATTGAGGAGTAATCCTGCTTGTCCTTAGATGAATAAGATGAATATAATAATCACAGTATCAACATCATCATTTCTTCCATGAAGTCCTAAGTTCAGCTAGTGGAAAAAAATTAATTCAAACTAAAATAGATTAATGAGAAAATAATTTTCTTCCATATTCTTTTTTTGTTATTCTCAGTGATCTCACTAATCTCTGAAGTCATATCTGTCAGCTTAATGTAAATGTGACTTGCATAGGAGTAATTTCTAGAGTTCTGTTTCTGGAAGCTTTTTTCATGTTCTCAGAAACGTTACATGGTGTATTAAGAAGGCAAACTGTGAGACACAGCAAAAGGTACTGTGTTTGCTGGGTAGTTTGGGGGCTTCATTGCCCTTCTCTCAGAACCTCATGATCATGCTTTGTACCCCTTGGCAGACTGATAGTTACAGCCAGAGCATCTGCCATTTCATTCAGCTTGCACAAACTGGCTGTAGTTATGAACTTTGAAGTGTAAATTAGAGCAATTTATTTTCTTTTCTGGGTAGAGTGTCTTTGTAATTTATCTCAAAATTGCTCAGAAATGAACTTGGCAGAAAAAGAAGCTAACACTTATGTAAATGCAATTTCACATGGAGGAAGGAAAACAGAATTCTGTATAAAAATATAGCTGAAATTTGTGCTAAGCAAGCTACATAACAGGGGGTTAAAATCTGAGTTTGTTCAGTGTCAGAATTTGAATGGCACTTGTTCCACATGCAGGTTATTTCATGTATCAAGCATGTATGTTTGATTTAAATGGAACATTATTTCAAAGTTCTGTTTTCTTGTTTTATGGTTTTCTTTCTTAAATGGACGAGCTTTACAAACAAGTCTGAAAAAGCATTTAGGATATTTATTTGACTTTTTCATGGAGGCTTTTTTATAAGGAAGACATGTTTTGGACGGTGGTCATAAACCTGCAGCCTGTTCCACCTCTGCCATTCTGTACCCACTGCTGTTGCAGCAGAATCAATACTGGAAGGCTTTGATACCCTCCGTTCTTAAAAGAATCTTCTAATAAAAGCAGGCTGTTCCCTATGAAACACCTCAGAACTACTCGGAAGATCAAGATTTGTCAGATGAGTGTAGTTGAACTGATTACACCTGAGCTTCCTGCTGGACCTTTTGAATCTGTATGGAACCAGAATAACAAATGGAGATGATGTGTTAATTGCAACAGAGATGTTGTGTTTATTGCACAGAAGTGTAGCCTACTGTCTTATTAATGTATGTTTTACTTAATGATGTGAAGTTTCAAGTATTGAGATGTAAAAAGGCATGAGCAAATCCCACCCATGGGAGGAACGAGGGAAGATGGAAACAGGGTAATATAGGAAGGTTTTTTTTATCCTAACACTAAGTTCTAGACAGTGATTATGTGACAGCCTATCATTTGTTCATCTCTGCATACTGGTCCCTCAGTCATGTTAACTGCAAACATGTATATTATCAATCAGCTATAGGCTCATTTTTTGTTACTATTGGTAATCTTTTTTTGACTGAAAATATTACAATGGTTGTTTAATCTTAAAAGTAGTTTCTCCATTAATATATTATTTTTTCAGTGACTATTTGAAAACTTTTTGTTGGTAATGTTTCGGTTAAGCTCCTTTGAATCCGAATCGTGGATTAAAATGCTGAAAGAGTCCTTGTGTTTTCTTGTAGATTGCTGGCTTCTCCAACAACTATTGGGAACTAAGGAGATGTCGACCTAAACTGAAGAAACTGAGGAAGCTTCTGATGGAAGATCCGTATGAAGGGCCAGGTAGTGTGAAAGATCAGACTGCAACGGTGTCAAAAGTAAGTCATCTAAGTAAGTCTGCTGCCTTGTAGTTGACAATGGGCAAATTAAAATGAAGAAACATTCTATCATCTATCTACCTATCTATGATAATGATGATTCTTAACTAGAAAAATAGCTTTGCTGATGCTTCACAGTGTTGCTTTAAATTTAATTTTAAATCTACTACACATAGGTAATTATTAGCACTTACAGTGACAAGTTGGTTATCTATCAGTTTTCCAGTAATAAAAGAATCAGCACTGAAAGAGATTTGTGATTTCCCCTTTTATGTGGAGAGTTTCTTGTAGATACGTGATTTAGGAAAGATAGAACACACTCAGTTTTCAGTCTTGCTGTGATACTTAATTTATTATGCCTACTTGAGCTAGTTTGACATCCTGGGAATGCATGGCGCAAAGACTTCTCTATAGTTAGACTGGTTTTTATATTAATCACCCTTTGAGAAACTTGTAAATTACAGGAGAAGTTCCAGAGAGTAGTGAAACTTAGAAAACTGAATCTTGGGGAAAATGTCATCAGTCTTCTTTCTTTCATTATGGCATAAGGCATTTTACATGGTTGCTGAAGTAAAATTGGCATAAGAATAACCTGTTTTATCTCCTTTATTTTCCTTGTTGCAGTACACAACAGAAGATTTGCTAGGTCTGATTCAAGCAAGTGAAGAGGAAATACTGCACCACCTGCAGGCTATTGGTGCCTGTGTAATTGAAGGTATTTGTCTCTAAAGAGTATTCATTACTTGTAGAATCATAGGATGGCTTAGGTTGGAAGGAACCTTAAAGATCATTTAGTTCCAACCCTCTGCCATGAGGGGGGTTGCGCCCCACTAGATCAGGCAGTTTTCTGCCTAAATTATTAGTTTTTTCCACATCTTATTTCAGGATGGGAATACCCAGACTTCTATAATATTCCTTCAGAGGAACTGACTCAAAGTACTGAAGTTTCCTTTTAACACTGATGTTTTTTTCTTCTGTTTGGCAGGATGTTGGAGAGTTTTAGAATTTGACTATGAGATGAAACTCTTGAATCACGTGACTCAGCTGATAGACTCAGAGTCCTGGTCTTTGAATAAGGTTCCTTTACGTACGTGTCTCGAGGAGCTTGGACCTCTAGAGCCCATGTAAGCAGTTACTTTTAGTACTTGAAGTTGTCTAAGCCATGATTAATGATTATTAATTAAATCATTATTCATTATTTATTAGAATTGTTGTTTTATAACTCTAGATTCCATTTACTGGGGCATTAATGATAAACTTTGTTTGGCTCTAAAATATGAAGGGCATTAGTAGCTCTCAGCTGTCTCTACCTAGGAGAACACTGCTATTAGCTTTCTAGAGGACAGATCAGTTCCAAACGCTGTGTCCATTTACTTGGTTCCTTGATGTAAGCCAGCACCATAAGCTGTTTCCTTACTTCTTCTAAACGTTTTTCATGTACAGACACACAGACTGCAATTTATTATTTTGTAAGACATGAGAGCCCCATGCCTGGATGCAGTACTCCAGGTGCGGCCTCTGAGGGCAGAGTAGAGAGGAACTGTCACCTCCCTTGCCCTGCTGGTAACCCCTCTTTTGATGCAGCCCAGCACTCTGGGTTGTAAGAGCACACTGCTGGCCTGTGTCCAGCTTTTTGTCCATCAGGACCTCCAAGACCTTTTCCATAGGGCTGCTCTCAATGTGTTCTTTTCTGTCCGTACTCATGTCTGGGATTGCCTCAACCCAAGTGCAGTGCTCTGTACGTGGCCTTGTTAAACCTCATTAGATTCTTGTGTGCCCACTTCTCAAGCCTGATCAGGTCCCTCTGGATGACATCTCTCCCTTCTATTTTGTCAACTGCACCACTCAGCTTGGTGTCATCAGCAAACTTGCTGAGACTGCGCTTGATCCTACTGTCTGTGTCACTGATACACATGCTGAAGAGTACTGGCCTGAAGATGGACAACCGAGGGGCAGCACTTGTGAAAAATACATGAAATATGATACAAACAGGAAGTTTATAACACGGTTTTAAAATTTGCCTTTTTTTTTTT